GTGAGCAGAGAGAATTGTGCAAGGAAGCTGAATTTCCAGGGGTCTGGAGGAAACACTGAAAACCTCAAACAGAAGATGTCCAGGCGGAGCAAATGGGGCTGAGAGTTCCTGTCCAAGGGGGCAGAATGCCAGCAGAGTAGGACACAAGGGCAGGTCTCTACTGAAAGCACCAGGGGCAAAGTCACCCAGCCCTTCATCCCGCTGGCCACCAAGCACATCAACTCTACTCTGCCTCCTGCCTGTGCCACCCTTTGCACTTTTGTCTGTACCATCTCCTCTACCAGGTATGCCCTTCCCGCTCCTCCATGTGGTATACTCTCAGCCACCCCTCAGGTTCAGATCCGGAGCCACCTCTTCCAAGAAGTCTCCACCTGTCTGCTGGGAACCCTCACATCACACTGGGAGAAGAGGCCAAAAGTTGGGGAGTCAGTACAGAGGTATGGGAGGTGGGTCCAATCCTGGCTGGACCTGTCCTTGGGTGTCATTTGGGACAGGCTATTGGGGAGGTTCAGCAGGAAGGTGGGACCCCAAGGCTTTCTTTTTATTAAGGAGGAGGCACCAGCTGTTGACAGAGCAGTGACAGCAGGGAGCCACCAAGGCTGAGCCTTGAACCCTGGGGCACCAGGCTCCTGCAGGCAACTGGGAGCAGCTCAGCCTCTCACACTCCCGTTTCCAGGGAGGAAGATGATGCAGCCTGAGGCAACTGGCCACAGGGAGGAAGTTCAGCTGGGCGGGGCAGGCAGAGGAATTCCTGGAAGGAAGCTCACCCCTCAGCACTGGGGTAGAGGGACACTAGAGACAGGGGTGGCCCAGGAGCTGCCCACCTCCTATCCCTATGAATAAGCAGATGGACCCGGGTGACCGGCTGGGAGCCACCCCTGGGTGCTCAGGTACCACGCTTCTGGCCCAGCCTCCTGAGCTGTGGCACAGGCAAGAGCATGGGCCCATGGGGGCTGCATGGAGCGGTGACCTGTTCTCTCTAAGCTTCAGCTTTCTCATCTGTAAAAAGAGGGTGAAGAGTCCTTCCCCACCATGGTTGTGGCGAGGGTAACTGAAGCATCAGGGTAGGCGACCCAGCAGGGCACCAGCACACCTGAGGTTCAGTCAACAAGGCCCACTGGTGAAGAAAGCCTTGCCTGCCCTCTCTTCCCTCCTGAGGCAGGTGGTGGAGGCACCTGCCCTCCCCATTGTGTGTGCATGCATGTGTGTGTGCATGCATGTGTGTGTGAATGTGTGTGTGCATGCATGTGTGTGTGTGCATGCATGTGTGTGTGCATGCATGTGTGTATGAATGTGTGTGTGCATGCATGTGTGTGTGCATGAGTGTGTGTGCATGCATGTGTGTGTGCATGCATGTGTGTGTGAATGTGTGTGTGCATGCATGTGTGTGCATGAGTGTGTGTGTGCGTGCATGTGTGTGTGTGCATGAGTGTGTGTGTGCATGCATGTGTGTGTGCATGCATGTGTGTGTGTGAATGTGTGTGTGTGCACATGCACATGCACGTGTGCCAAGCTCTGGAGAACAAGCAGCCAGGCTTGGGCAGGAGCCCGGGGGCAAGGAACATGCAAAGTTCTCTCCACAGCCCCTCAGTGCTAACAGGCTTAGGTGGGGGATGACATGTCTTAGAAACAAACTTCACCCTCTGCCCCAAAACTGCCTGTTGGTCTGTCACATCGGGCCAGGCAGTGGGCACTTGGAAACAGTGCCCTGCTCCTGCCTTCCAAACCCAGGAAGTCTTCTTGAAAGCCTCATGGAGGGGACCTAGGGTCAGGGGACTCCCCAAGCAGGCACAGCACCCACAAGGGTCTCAGGGACCACTTTCTCCCCAACTGCCTGAGGTAAGGATGGATGTGGACAAGCAGCTCAGGGCTGGGGCTGGCCTAGGTGGAAGGTTCAGAAGCACAGAAGGCAGGATGTGCCCGAGGGGCCGGAGATGGGGTTGGAGGCTAGGGCTGGGAAAGAGAGTTTGGGAGATCAGCCAAGGGCAGTCCATGCCTAGACTCTTCTCTAGGTCATGGGGAGTCATAAAGAATGTAGGAGTGGTGATGGGATGGCACCATATTTGCACCTTTGAAAGTCACCTCTGTTTGCAGATAGAGATGGATTGGGGGCAGGGCTGCGAGGAAGGGCATCTCATGGGAGAGGAAGACCCTGGCCACGGTCCAGAGGAAAACAGCGGGCCTGGGGAGAGGCTGCTCCTGGGGAGGACCTACTCAGAGGCTATCTTCCTCGTGCTCCCCCACCCAAGGAGACACAGGAAGCTGGTGAGGTCAGTGGGTGGGCCTGCAACCCAACCTGCGCTGGAGAGGAGCAGGAGGGAGATGGGAGGGCACAGAGAGGTGGAGGGCAGGGACTCTGAGGACCCTTGTCCATGCCCACCTGGGCAATTGAATCGAGCTTCCTCTAGTGTGGAATGTGGGCTCACTGGGGCCATTTGCTATCCTTCTCTCATGTCAGACCAGACGCGGCCCAAGGATGGGGTCTGTGACTCCCTCATCAGACTGAGGGGGCCTGAAATGTGGGGGAAGGAGGGAGCTTCCAAGCAGGAGGGTTTGGAGGGTGCTGGCACTGAGGACAGGGGATACGCCCCCCATGAGTCATCACCCCTGCTCAGAACCTGTTGCTGTGGCCCTCAGAGATGAGCCCATCTTTGGAACTGGAGGTGGGGATGGAGGAAAACCAGATGGAAGGGAAAAAGAAAAAAGGGGCAGGCATGAGTGTGAGGCGTCAGACCCTGCAGCCCCCAGGACATGCACAGCAGACACACACTTCAATCCCTCTTGGCTCTGCCCAGCCTCAAACGAGGTGCAGGCCTGCAGGCCCTGACCAAGGACTCCTGTTATACACAGACAAATGCAGACACACACTCACACACAGATACAAAGACACAAGATGCAGCAACACACACACAAAATACACAAACACAGTCACACTAGTGCACACACAGATACAAATAGACACACACAGACATTCCAAGAAACATACTCACACATGAACAAAGATGTACAAGCACAGTCTTACACATACAAAGACACACTTAAGTACAGACACAAACACACCAAAAGATGCACAGATGGACACATATAGAAGCACACTGGGAGGCAGCCTGTGGAGACTGCTGATTGGATGCCATGCTGGCTTGGTATCCAGAATTGTTGGTGCAGCGCACCCCACGTGCCTGACCTCATTAAGGAGACCCTCTGGGGCAGTGGCCCTGAGAAGAAAGGCAGCAAGCCTAGGGAGGTGACACTGTAGCTGGGGAGCATTTTGGCTGGGCAGAGAGGAGGAAGGAGAGCATTCCAGGGAGGGAAAATAGCCCCTGCAAAGGTTTGGAGTGGAAGAACGGGATGTCCCAAGAACTGTGCCTCGTTTGATGGGGCTGCGGGGCCCTAGTCTGACAGGCAGCCTTCCCCGGCACAAAGGGAGGTGGACTCAAAAGCATCTGGAACTTCTGTGGGGGCACATGGGGCAGAGGGGAAGGGGAGCAGGCAGAACCAGTCAGCTGCCTTTGAAAGCTCCACGAGGGACCTAGCAGAAAGTCATTCATTCATTCATCCGTTCATTCATTTATTTGTGACAGGGTCTCTGTCACCCTAGCTGGAGTGCAGTGGTGTGATCACACTCACTGCAGCCTCAAACTCCTGGGGTAGGCCGGATGCAGTGGCTCACGCCTGTAATCCCAGCACTTTGGGAGGCCAAGGCGAGTGGATCACCTGAGGTCAGGAGTTCGAGACCAGCTTGGCCAACATGGTGAAACCCTGTCTCTACTAAAAATACACAAAATTAGCTGGGCATGGTGGTGGGCGCCTGTAATTCCAGCTGCTTGGGAGGCTGAGGCAGGAGAATTGCTTGAACCTGGGAGGCGGAGGTTGCAGTGAGCCGAGATCATGCCACTGCACTCCAGCGTGGGTGACAGAGCGAGACTCCATCTCAAAAAAAATAAAAATAAAAATAAAAAACCTCCTGGGCTCAAGCAATCCTCCACCCCAGCTTCCTGAGTACTGACGTGAGCTACTACAGACGTGAGCTACTACACCTGGCTAATTTTTAAATTTTTTTAGAGACAGGGTCTCCCTTTGTTGCCCAGGCTGGTCTCCAACTCCTGGCTTCAAGCCATCCTCCTGCCTCAGACTCTGAAAGCGCTGGATTACAGGCATGAGCCACGGTTCCCTGCCCAGAAAGAGATCTTCACCCCACAAACCCCCTATTTGGAGGCCAAGTCCCAGCATCCCCAGTAGGGTCCCGGTTATGACAAGAAAAAATGCTGTGAGACTCGTAAGAGAGGCTGGGCGCCCCTTGCTGCAGAGTGGTCCCCTTACCAGGCATGGGGCCTCAGTCTGTGAGACTCCTCGCCTCGGTCGTCTGAACTCCAGCAAGGACAGAGCTAGGCCCAGCCTGGGGACCTGAGGGCCTGCCCGCATCCGCGATTCTGCCTCTTTTCTGGCCACTGGGGACCGGGCTAGGGAAACTGAAGGGGCAGCAGGGGTGGGAGGAGAGAGGGTTCTGGGTCAAGGGACTGGACAGGTCTGGGTCAAGGCACTGGAGGAGTCTGGGGCAGGGAAGTGGAAGGGTCTAGGGCGGTCCCTTCCCCCTCAGCTGTTGGACCCTCGCTGAAGGGGCCGAGGCTGAGCCCCAAGGTGGGCCTGTGGGGGCGGGGCAGGGGAGCCCCTTCGCAGCTGGACCGCAGGAGGCCGACGAGGGTCTGGAATTCCTCTTCCCCTCCCTCCGCCGCCCCCTCTCCCTTCTCCCACCCCCTGGGCTGCTCGCGGAGCGGGGGAGGCGCAGGAGGGGCTCAGGGAGGGGCCCTGGACGCGGGACCAGGCTGGGCCCCTCGGCGGAGGCCCGCGCAGGCAGGCCCCGCCCCGGCCTCGCACATCTGGGCCGGGAGCGCGGGCCGACCCGGCGGCGCAGGCGGCGCGGCCATCCGGCCTGGGGGAGGGGGCGGCGGGCGGGCGGGGTGGGCGGCGAGAGGAGGCGGGAGGCCGCAGGGCCGGGCGCACGTCGAGGGCTGCGGCCGCCACAGCAGGCAGGGCTAACGGGCTGCGGGCCCGGGATCGCAGCGGCTGGACGGGGCTCGAACTGTAGGGAGGGCGGAGGTGAGTTCTGGGGCGGGGGCTGCTGGGCGCCCCGAGTGGAGAAAGGCGCGGAGGTTTGCCGTCCTGGGCTGTCGGCTGAGACCCCACCAAAAACCTCCAGACTCCACGCGTCTGGTGGGGGCAGATCTGCAAACCCCTCTCGTCAGCGAGGCTGCGGGTTCGGGAAGGCACTTGGGACTGCGACCTTGGGCTCCCACCTGGGCTTCGGGGGACCACCTCCCCTGTCCCTTGCACAGCTGCTCAGAGGCTGAGGCTGAAGAAACTCCTGTGTCTTACAGGCTGGTAGGACTGGTGTGGGCTGGGGCCCGCTCCAGGGAGCCAATTTGGGGGACCCGGTGCCTAGGCCTGAGGTGGAAACTTGGGGGTTGAGGGTATGTGTGTGTGTTGGGGGTGCCTCAGGGGTCCCAGGCCCTGTGGTCCCGAAGTGCAGCAGAGTACCGAGTGACCCAGGTGCCAGGGTCTGAGGCCGGGACCTGGTCTTCCGGGCAAGCTTGAGGTCCAGGTGGGGTGGGTCCAGGTTCCCGCTGGGGCAGTGGAGCCTGTCTGTGAGGCTAGCGTGTGTTGATGAGAGAGATTGGAAGGGAGTGAGCACGAAAGGGACTCTCCGGAGAGCAGACGCAGTGCAGGAATCCCAGGAGAGAGGGGTAATGGGGGGCTGTGGGCAGAGCATGGGAGGGGCTCTGTTGTTTGTGAACTGGCTGCTCCCATGATGAGGACCCAAGGGGGTGCGGCAGGATGTATGGAAAGCAAAGATGAGGACAGGGAGGGGCCATGGGAGGCCATTTCTGTCACTCCCTGCCCCAGCGCAGGATGGGGCAGCCACCTCACTCAGCCACCCATGGTCCCTTCTTCTTAAGGGCTCCCCTCCAGAACAGAGTGGGGCAGCCCTTTGGGTGCCGTTTCTGATCTGTGCTTTGGGCCCTGGTTGGCCCAGTCTGTGGCTTGGAAGAAACGCCTGTGGCCTCACTTAGCCTGCTGACGGAGTCCTGTTCCATTACAGGGCTGGCTGGGTGCTGAGCAGAGAACAGCAGGCGGAAGAGGCAGGGTCCTAGGCAGGAGGAGAGCTATAAGGACTTGGGTGGGCTCTTTGTCTACACAGGCATCATGTGGAGCCCTGAAACCCAGAACACTGCATTCCCATAGTGCTCCTGGGGACATGAGCGCCCAGCTGAAACACCCCACCCAGGAAGAGATCCTCCGAGGATTCTCTATCAGGCAAAGGGTCTGGCCCCTGCAAGGTGGCTCACACCTGTAATCCCAGCACTTTGGGAGGATGAAGTGGGAGGATCGCTTGAGGCCAGGTAGTCGAGGCTGCAGTGAGCTGTGATTGTGCCACTGCACTCCAGTCTAGGCAATAGAGCAAGACCCTGTCTCAAAAAAAAGAGCAGGAGTGGGCCGGGGGAGGGGGGCAGGGTTCATCCTAGGCTATTGTAAGACCGGGGCCACTCTGGGATGGGAGTCTCTGGTTGTGAGTTCCTGCTGGGCCACACCCTATCCTGGTCCCCAGTGACTAATAGGCCCTGCCTATTGGGTAGAAGTCAGGGCCAGGGGTCAGGGAGAAGCTGATGACTAGAGGTCAATATGAAGCCAGGAGTTAGGGGTCAGTCTATGGGCAGGGTTAGGGATCAGGCTGGGGCCAGAATTTGGCATGTGCTTGTAGCCAGGAAATGGAGTTCCTTTCTGTGTAAATCAAACTGTCCCACTCAATTACTCTCAAACCCATAGGCACCACCAGTCTGAAATTAGTAGGCCCCTGAAGCGGGGGTCAGCCTCCCCTCATTTTCAGCTATGGACTCTGCCCAGACCTAGCTTTTGGGAGCTGGGCTTGTCCCATGTTCTGTGGTCAGCATTCTCCTTAAGTGTTCCTGGGTGTGTGTGCTTGCTTGGCAGTCAGCCACCTCTTGGCTTACCTCCACCTCTCGGGGAATCCGTGGGATCCTCCTTCTTTAACACATTTTTATTTTATTTTTTTGAGATAGGGTCTCACTCTGTCACCCAGGCTGGAATGCAGTGGTGTGAGCATGGCTCACTGCAGCCTCAACCTTCCAGGCTCAAGCAATTCTCCCACCTCAGTGTCCAAAGTGGCTGGGACTCTAGGCATGCACCACTACACCTGGCTAATATTTGTATCTTTTGCAGAGATGGGGTTTTGCTATGTTGCCCAGGCTGGTCTTGAACTCCTGAGCTCAAGCAATCCACCCATTTTGACCTCCCAAAGTACTAGAATTACAGGCATGAGCCACCACACGCAGCCTTTAACACAAATTGATTTAGTTCCTACCTCCTTCCTTAAAGAACTCGTGATGACTAGAATGCGATTCTCAGTGAGACCAAAATCTCTAACAAGAAAATTCAGAATCCGCATCACGAAGGGAAAGAACACTGCTCAAACCTGCCCAACTCCCTGCTTTTATCAACACCTTGCATATCTGGACTTGTTAACATAAGCCCTCTGTGTCACCCATTCTACCGGAAAGGGCGTTGAGGCACAGAGATGTGGCATGATGCACTCATGCCACGTGCCCTAATAGGCTCTTGCCATCCCTGAAACCCCAGCATAGGGGCACTCAGCATATCGCATGAGAGACAGTAGATAACTGGACAAGCTTCCGATAGCTAGGAAAAGTATAGGCCCATGGTTTGGATGTGGAATCTAGCATAGAAGGAGGACTCAGAGTTTTTTGTTTTTTTTTTCTTGAGATGGAGTCTTGCTCTTGTCGCCCAGGCTGGAGTGCAATGGCGCGATCTTGGCTGGCTGCAACCTCTGCCTCCCGAGTTCAAGCGATTCTCCTGCCTCAGCCTCCTGAGTAGCTGGAATTACAGACATCTGCCACTATGCCCGGCTAATTTTTGTATTTTTAATAGAGACGAGGTTTCACCATATTGGTCAAGCTGGTCTTGAACTCCTGACCTCAGGTGATCCACCTGCCTCAGCCTCTCAAAGTGCTGGGATTACAGGAGTGAGCCATGGTGCCCGGCCCAGAGTCTTTTTTTTCTGGTGGTTCTAGGTTGTTTCTCCCCCAGGTACAATAGCCTTAGTCCAGAAAATCCATTCATTCATTCAGCAAAGTGGTTCCCCAGTGCTAAGCACAGAGCCTGGCATGAAGAATCTCGATAAGTGTTTGCTGAAGAATCAGAACAACATACAAATAGGGCTGCCAGCTCCTCCCTTGAGGCCTTGATCCAGTAGTATGCTGGTTAATGGTTTTCAATCAGCTCTGGTAGAGGGATAAAATCCTGATTTGTAGTGCTTGCCAATTTCTGTGGTGTAAATACTCCCAGCCATGACTGATTTCAAGCTACCAATGTGATATCATTGAATGCAGAACTGGGAAGAGACAGAAATAATCAGCTCACATGAGCTGGCGGGACCCAGCTCAGCATCCCACTCCATCACCCTAAGCTGGGCTCCTGCCCCTGGCTCCTAAGACCCCTCCCCTCCCCTCTCTGTGCTTTCTCTTTTCTCCACAACACCAGCTGCTATATGCGTGCCCACAACCAGCCCCCATCCTTTTTCTAATTCTGATTCCTGAGCATCCAACTGTGTACCTCCAATGGTACAGAGGACAGCAAGAGTGTCTGGAAATCTCCATGGTGCTGGCCATGCAGGAGAATCCTGGACATACAAGAGTGTGCGGGAGTCCAGGTGTCTGTCCACGGTGGGGCTGGTTTGTGTGAACTGTGTGAGCAAGGGTGTGTGCATGTGTGTATGGGCATGCCAGAGCCAGCTCTGTGTTTGCCTGTGTTCTATAGCAAAACTTTCTGATCGGGCCGCTGGTGACAGAGAGGGAATGGATTGGCCCTGTGTAGCCTCCCCCTTTGTTTAGGGGAGCAGCCAGGCCCACCAATGAGAACATAGTGTCAGTGGTCTGCAGACTGGTTGAGAGACACTGTTGAGCGACACTTCTCAAACTTCAATGTGCACCTGAATCACCTGGGAATCTTGTTAAAATAGGCCAGGCACGGTGGCTTACGCCTGTAATCCCAGCACTTTGGGAGGCCGAAACAGGCGGATCACCTGAGGCCAGGAGTTCGAGACCAGCCTGGCCAATATGGTGAAACCCCGACTCTACTAAAAATACAAAAATTAGCGGGGCATGGTCGTGCATGCCTGTAGCCCCAGCTACTTGGGAGGCTGAGGCAGAATAATCGCTTGAACCTGGGAGGTGGAGATTGCAGTGAGTTGAGATCTGAGATTACGCCACTGCACTCCAGCCTGGGGGACAGAGTGAGACTCTGCCTCAAAAATAAATAAATAAATAAAAATAAAATACAGGTTCTGATTCGGCAGGTCTAGGATGAGGCCTGAGGTTCTGCATTTCTAACAAGCTCCCAGGTGATACCAATGCTGCTGGTCCTCAGCCCACACTTTGAGTAACAAAGCTGTTGATGGTTTGGAATATCCTGCCTATAGCCTGGCCCCAGAACTTCAGACAGGATTGAGGCCCTCCCATCTTAGAAAATAAATATGCTTCCTCACCTCCCTTCAGCTTTAGCACCCTCCAACTACTGCCCTCACATGCATTCCTGATCTCAGCCAAGCTTCTCAGAAATTCTAGCTCAATATGATTACATCACTACACTCCAGCCTGGGCAACAGAACAAGACCCCATCTTAAGAAAAGAAGTTCTAGCTCATGTGACCTCTTGCTCACTCCTCACCTAAGCTTACCTGCCTTGGGCCACTAAAACAGGTGTTTCCAGTCTCATCTGAGGACCTCTTACAGGGATCTAGCTTTACCCATCTCTTGGTACAATCTTCATGAGACCATGGGGCATCTCAATCTCCTTGGCCAGTCCATGTTCCTCTGTTCGGCCTTTAAGTGTAGGTTCTCCTCGTGACAGAGTGACATCCTATCTCAAAACAAACAAACAAAAAAAGAAGGCCAGGTATGGTGGCTCACGACTGTAATCCCAGCACTTTGGGAGGCCGAGGTGGGCAGATCACTTGAGGTCAGGAGTTCGAGACCAGCCCGGCCAACATGGTGAAACCCCGTCTCTATTAAAAATACAAAAATTAGCTGGGCATGGCATGCAGCTGTAATCCCAACTATGGAGGAGACTGAGGTAGGAGAATGGCTTGAACCTAGGAGGCAGAGGTTGCAGTGAGTCAAGATCGTGCCACTGCATTCCAGCCTGGGCAACAGTGAGACTCTGTCTCAGAGAAAAGAAAAGACAAATTGAGTCATGCCCCCACCCCAGCCTGCCACCTCAAAGCTTTCAAGATTTGCTGTTGCCCTTCATATAAAACCAAATCTGAAATAGGGTGCACAGGCCCTGCCTGCAGGGTGAGAGCCCAGCCCAGCCCTCCGTCCAGACTTACCATGTCCCCTTCCCATCCCACATTATCCAGCTTTGACCTTCCCAGCACTCAGCAACCCTTGTCATTTCAAAATCACTTGCCTAATTATCTTCTCCATCAGACTGTTGGTTTCTAGGGCAGGGACAGTGTCTCTCTGGGTCACTGATATCTCCTAGCACCTGGCACAGAGCAGGCACCAGAAAACATTTAGGAGGATCCTGATTCCAAGAAAGTAAAGCCATTTTTTGAGACAAGCTGGGAACTGTGGGACTTTAGATGAGATTTAAGGAATTACTGTTAATTTCATTGGACATGAGAATGGTGTTTCGGCGATGTTGTTGAAAACGTCTTTATCTGTTGGAGAGATGTATTAAAGAGTTCATAGGTGAAACAACATGATGGCTGGGATTTGCTTCAAAGGACTCCAGCCAAAAGTAAACAAATAAAATAAATAAGCATTCAGTGAGGGAACAAAGGGACAAATAAATCCCACTCTGCTTGTCTGTTCCTGTTGACAGCTACAGGGCCTGCAAGGATGTTGACTGTCCCGGAGATGGGCCTGCAGGGGCTGTACATCGGTAAGGACCCCCACCACTCTGCCCTGCCCCACCACCCATTCACCCCAGCAGGCACTGAGACCCACCTACAGGTTGTCCAATGTACCTCTCCCGCAGAGCTTCCCAACAGCCCTTCTGTGAGTGAGTGTGTGTGTGTGTGTGCATGTGTGCAGGGCAGGTCTGTGCTTACTGGACCCTCCCGTGTGTGCAGGGAGGGTCTGTGTGCAGAGGTTTGTGTATGTTAGTATGTGTGAGTATGTGTGCACACAGGACTTGTCTATTCACAGGACCTCCATGTATATATGAGTGTGGGCTGAGTGCATGTGTGTGTGCCAGGAGGGTCTGTGCACACAGGAGTGTATACGTGTGCGTGTGTTTTGTTCAGGCTCCGTCCACAGGACCCTGTGTGAGTGCGTCAGTGAGTGTGTGTCTCTGCGGGTAGGTCTCTGTGCACAGAACCTGTGTACGGGACTATAGTCTGCAAGTGGGCACACATGCAGAGAATTCTGTGTGTGCATGGAGGGTCTGTGTGCACAGGAGTGTTTGCAGGTCCATGTGCTTTGTTCAGGCTGTGTGCACAGGACCCCGTGTGAGTGCATCAGTGAGTGTGTGTCTCTGTGGGCAGGTCTCTGTGCACAGGATCTGTGTACGGGAGTATAGTCTGCAGGTGGGCATGCATGCAGAGACTTCTGCGTGTGCATGTGCATGTGCATCTGCCCATAGCCTGGTCTGGGAGCAGGCTTGGTTCTCTGCAGGGGTGGGAGGCCGGAGGCAAGAGGGACACTCCTCAGGAAGTCCATTCACAAAGACCTGGTGGGCTGGGCCCTTCCTTCCTGCCTCCCTTCCCAAGCTCGAGCCACAGCAACTTGGCCTCTCAGGCTGCAGCTGGTGGCAGGGCCGGAGCCTGCCCTGGCTACCTGAGGAGAGACAGCCCTTGGAATGTGGCCACTTTGTCCCTGCCCCTCCAGCACCTCAGACTCTGGCCCTGTCCAGGTGCTTCCCAGAGTCCCCCTCATGCCTGGCCCTTCACCTATGTTCCCAGGTTACCCCCAAGGCCAGGGAGAGTGGAGACCTGCCTGGCAGCACATGGCAGGACTGTGGCTGAGGGAGAACAGGGCCTGCCTGATTTGTCCATGGAGCTTCCTACCAGATCTCACTCTCCCTCCCTAGCCAGCCTCCCTGGCCTGTCCATGGATCTCAAGGCTGCCCCCAGTACTCTTCACATGCCCCTTAGCAATGCCCAGTGTGGTGGTGGCAGCTACTGGCCCACACCTGTGGGGGTCCAGTCAGGCAGGCCCTCCTGCCTCATGAGCCGCCTGATCCTTGGAGCCAGGCCTGGGGCTGTCCTCCAGGGCTACTCCACTCCCTCCCACCAAAGGTCCAGCTCAGTCCCAGGCCTGCAAGAGGGTCTTGATGGGGCCTCCTGCCCTGAAATGCTGGCTCAGGGTGTGTGTATATGTGTGGGTGGGGGGTGGGAATCAGACTTCCTAATGGTGTGGACACCCCCCTTTCAGGACTGGGCTGTCTTTATGAGTGTGGGAGGAGACGCTGCCCCTCCTGGATCCTCCCCAAGCAGCCAGTTGGGCCTGTCTGTGGCCCTTGTGGGCATGGGAGCTGGGGAGTTCCCTCAAGCCCTGATTAGAACCACGTGGCCCAACTTTAGGGTGGAGGGGAGCAACCCCACCTCCGAGCCAGTTAGGTCTGTGGCCCCACCTTTTGAAGGAGAAGGGCTTCTCTCTCCTCCACTCCCTCCCAGGAGCTCACCTGCCCTATCTCCCCTGCCCTTCCGTCTCTGGACTGGGTCTCCCTGCCACACAATGCTTTTCTGTCTCTCCCCTCCCGCACTGTGTTTCTGAGGGGCCCTAGTGGGGAGACAGTGAGTCCCCAGAGAAAGCACGGGTCACCCGCTAGGGAAATGTTGCTTCTGATAGCAGACCCTCAGCTCCTGCCCCTACGTCACGCGTGTCTTTCCTACACCCCCCAGTCCTCCTCCCTAGCAGAGAGCCCCTTGCCTTAGCCCAGCAAGGACTGATGGAGAACCTCTGGGTGCCTAGCTTGGGGTCCACTGCCATCCCTACCCTGCTTGTGCCAGGATGAACTGCCCTCTCTTCTCTGCAGGCTCCAGTCCGGAGCGGTCCCCAGTGCCTAGCCCACCCGGCTCCCCAAGGACCCAGGAAAGCTGCGGCATTGCCCCCCTCACACCCTCGCAGTCTCCAGTAAGCGCGGAGCAGGGACCAGGTGGTGGGTAGCCTGGGTGGTGTGGATGGGATCGTGCCTGGCAATGTCATGACAGGGCCTGGGCTAGGAAGGAGGAGGGGATGGGGATACCACCATGCCTCTTGTCCCCATACACAAGACTCCAGTCATGTGCCCCCCAGAAGGATTGGCCTTGGGCGGCCCTGGACTATAAAGGTAACAATTCTACTGAGAAGGTGAGCCCCATGTAACTAATCCCAACCCCCCCCAGCATAGGAGGCACCCACAGCCATTGAAGCTGGCCTGGCTGAGGCAAGTGTTCCTCTGAGCATGTGGCTTTTCTAGGTCCCCAGAGCACTGGGCCTCCTGTTGACCACAGTCCACCTTAATCCAAGTCATATCTGAAGGAAAGGAGACATGTTGCTAAAAAAAATAGTCTGGAAACTATTAGCTCGGGCTGGCCATGGTGGCTCACACCTGTAATCCCAACACTTTGGGAGTCCGAGGTGGGCAAATTGCTTTGAGCTCAGGAGTTCAAGAACAGCCTGGGCAACGTAATGAAACCCCATCTTTACAAAAAAAATACAAAAATGAGCTGGACGTGGTGGTGCACACCTGTAATCCCAGCTACTCAGGAGGCTGAGGGTGGAGAATCGCTTGAACCCAGGAAGCAGAGATTGTAGTTAGCCAAGATCGCACCACTGCATTCCAGCCTGGATGACAGAGTGAGACCCGGTCTCAAATAAAAAGGAAACTACTAGCTTGAAGTATCCAGGATACCACCTCCCCACCCCCAAGCTCCCTGGGTCACCCCATGTGGATGACCTTGCCCTGGTGGGGACCCCCTTATTCTCAGGGAGTCCAGCCCTGGCACAGGAGAAGGCACACAATTCTCTGGAGACATGCACGTGCTCTCTTCTGTCTGCCATAGAATCAGTCTGGTTTGTGTCACTGTGGCCACAAGGAGCAAGAGGGTAAAATACATGCACTGGTCCATGTGCTGTAAAACTGCCTGGAGGAGCAAAATTGCTCCCAGCTGGGCCCAGACTAGTGGCTGCCTATGAAGATGGTGTGAGGTGGGGGTGGGGCTAAGGCAGTCCGGGGGAGGGTGGGCAGAGGCTGGAAGCAGGAAGGCAGGAGCTTGAGACGAACCCTGCCTGGGGCTACCTGAGAGACATGTCCAAGGCTCAGCCTGGAGCCTGGGAGGGCAGAGGAGCCTGAGCAGGTGGGCAGGTGGTGTGGGCCAGGTCCAGGGCTGGTCTGGACCACAGTCAGTGGAGGGAGTGTCTTCCCCATGCAGAGGAAGCGTTGGGGGTTGGGGGGTGGGGGTGTCCCTGCTGGCTACTTGCTAATTCTAGGTCTTGCACTTGCAGAAGCCCGAGGCCCGAGCCCCCCAGCAGGCCTCCTTCTCCGTGGTGGTGGCCATTGACTTTGGCACCACGTCTAGTGGCTATGCTTTCAGCTTTGCCAGTGACCCTGAGGCCATCCACATGATGAGGTGAGGGTAGCTGGGCTGGGAGAGTGAGGTGGGGTGGGTGGGGAGTTCCTCATACCTAGGGATGAGCTTGGTCCCAAAAGTACTGTCACCGAGACATGGGGGTCTCCTCAGAGGCCCTGCCACCCCTAGTCTGGGGCTCCCCACTCGGGCTAAAGGTTGGAGGATGGGCCCCAGGCCTGTGTTCCTGGTCTCAACTGGAGCAGCTCCCAGCCCTCTGAAAGAAAAGTAAGACTGTTTTTAATTTTGAATTAACATACAATAAAATATGCAAATCTTTTTTCTTTTCCTTTCTTTTTGAGATGGAGTCTCACTCTGTTGCCCAAGCTGGAGTGCAATGGTGCGATCTCAGCTCACTGCAGCCACTACCTCCTGGGTTCAAGTGATTCTCCTGCCTCAGCCTCCCAAGTAGCTGGGACTACAGGTGTGTGCCACCATGCGTGGCTATTTTTTTTATTTTTAGTAGAGACAGGGTTTCACTATGTTGGCCAGGCTGGTCTCAAATTCCTGACCTCAGGTGATCTGCCTGCCTTGGACTCCCAGAGTGCCTCACAGACATGAGCCACCACACCCGGCCTTTTTTTTTTTCTTTCTTTTTTTTTTTTTGAGAGACAGGGTCTTGCTCTGTCACACAAGCTATGTGCAGTGATCATACCACAAGTGCAGTGATATGATCATAGCTCACTGCAGCCTCAAACTCCTGGGCTCAAGCAATCCTCCTACCTCAGCCTCCTGAGTAGCTAGGACTACAGGCAGTACCACCACACCTGGCTAATTTTTTAAAAATTTTTTGGAGAGACAGGGTCTCACTGTGTTGCCAGGGCTGGTCTTTAATTCCTGGCCTCAAGTGATCCTCCCACTTTAGCATCCCAAAATGCTGGAATTACAGGCGTGAGCCACCATGCCCAGCCCACAGATATTTTTCTAAGCTTGTAGACAAACACACACATATACAAACATATATGTGTTTTTTAAGTAAAAGTGAGATATACAGCTTGCTTTGTTTTAAAGCTTCAACATTATTTTGTAGATATTTCATGTCAGTACATACAAAGCTACCACTTTCTTTGAACGGTTGCCTAGTATTCCATAGTACAGATGTGTCATAATTTATCCATTCCCCTATTGACAGTTTTAGGGGTTTTTTCCCTCCTCTCATTTTTCACTATTACAAAAATGCAGCAGTAATATCCTTCTATGAAAACTTGTGCTGCAGTCTCTATGGGGTAGATTCCTAGAGGTGATTCCTAGGTCCAACATCTCAAATAAAAAACAAGAAAATGAAGGTTCTAAGGGTTGAGTTGACAAGTCACACTGTTGTTATGAAAGACATGTTTCAAAAATTCATTCAGATGTTGGTGGGTTTTGTGTGAACACTCCCCTTGGGACCTCAAGACCCCAGTCCTTTGAATGTGTCCTAGAGGGTTGGCAGGCAGTAGGTAAAGCTATAGGAGACCTCAAAGCTCTCAACCCACACTGGGATGGGAGGTAAGAGGGGCTTCTCCAGGCCTGGAGACTGGACGGAAGATTGAATGGAGAGACAGACAGGTAACTGCTCCCAAAATACATGGGACTTTAGCTTCGTGAGATTGGACTGTCCTTCCTTCTGCATCACAGGAAACCACAAAGGCTCCAGGCACTTACGGCCCTCTAGGAGCTGTAGGACATCCCAGATGTCTTGCTCATCAACACACACAGCTGAGGCCATGCTGGAGCTAAGGACACATCCAGGAACATTATCTCTGTCCTGTGGAGGTGAAAGTCACAGGAAATAACTGGGGGACATCCCGGCGTCCTCCTAAGCCCTCTCTTCCCATCAGAGACCAAGCCCCTAACATCTCTAGATGTGTCCCTAACATCTCTAGACCCGACCTGCTCTCACCTGGATGGCTGCAATATACTCCTCCTTGCTTTCCTTTCTCCATGCTCTCTTCCCTCCATTCTGTTGCTCCATGGGAGCCAGTGACCTTTATTTCTAAAGGCAAATGTGGTCATACCTCTTCGCTACTTAAAATCCACGAAGACAGAATTCTGAATGGCCTTCTGTGCTCTTCATGATCTCACCTTAGCATTCTTGTATTTTCTCCTGCTGCCTGTCCAACCGACCCATAGCTAGTTCTCCCTGCTCTTTCACATCTGTAAGTTTTTGCACATGCTGTTCCCTCTGCCTGGATTCCCACCCAAGGAGGGTTGCACTGACGGCCCTGTGCCTCCGCAGGAAATGGGAGGGCGGAGACCCGGGCGTGGCCCACCAGAAGACCCCGACCTGCCTGCTGCTGACCCCGGAGGGCGCCTTCCACAGCTTTGGCTACACCGCTCGCGATTATTACCATGACCTGGACCCGGAAGAGGCGCGGGACTGGCTCTACTTCGAGAAGTTCAAGATGAAGATCCACAGCGCCACGGTGAGTCACAGGGCTCCAGACAGGGAGGCGGGGCCAGCATTGAAAAGGGCAGGGCTAATGGGGGGGGTGGGGCAGGGCTAATGGGGGGGGTGGGGCTGGGGCAAAACCAAAACGCGTGAGGACCGACCCGATGGAGTCGTGGCTGAGAGGGGGCAGAGCTAAAGGGAGACGTCGGACTCCAGTGTGAGCGGAGCACAGAAATGAGACAGGTGGAGGTGGGGCTAATGTGGGTGGGGCTAATAGTGAAGCTGGGGTTGCAGGAGGGGTGGGGCTAAGGAGAGGGGCTGGGACAGAGCTAATGTCAGATTGGGGCAAGAGTGGGATGGTGTTAAAGAGATGGGGAAGCTCCAGGAAACGGGGCGATTTTAAGAGCAAGGTCGTCAGGAAATGAGTGCCGAGCTGAGGCCTTCTGCAGAGCCGCCCTGTGTCCCTGCCAGGATCTCACCTTGAAGACCCAGCTAGAGGCAGTAAATGGAAAAACGATGCCCGCCCTGGAGGTGTTCGCCCATGCCCTCCGCTTCTTCAGGGAGCACGCCCTTCAGGTGCGCTGCGGCCCCACCTCTGCCGACTGTAGCAGGGACCCCCTCTTGTCCCCTCATCCGAAACCGCTCCCCCATCCCGTCGCCAACATTGGATGGGTAGCCACCGCCGGAAGTCAGAGGTCATCTTCTCCAGTACCCTCCTCCCTTTTTGTCTGGTAGAGCCTGCACCAAGCCATACTGATGGGAGGGGGGCCGATTCTTCCAACTCTGCTGGGAAGTCCTTCCTGTGGTTTGATTAGTACCTCCAGCTCCGCGGAGGGCTGAAGACCACCCTCCCTCCAAGCCACCTTTTCTCTGACTGCCCGCTCCTGCACCAGGAGCTGAGGGAGCAGAGCCCATCACTGCCAGAGAAGGACACTGTGCGCTGGGTGTTGACGGTGCCTGCCATCTGGAAACAGCCGGCCAAGCAGTTCATGCGAGAAGCTGCCTACCTGGTGAGGATGTGCAGACGGGTCAGAGAACACTGCTCAGGAAGGCCCGGACCTGCCCCCATGCCTGCATGCACCCCACCACCCTTGAGACCACAGAGTCATTGTGGAAAGAACTTCAGCCTGCTCCTGCTGGGAGTTTGTAGGGTTGCTCCCACCAGGAGAGGGAGTGGGCCTGCAGAACAGGGGACAGAGGGACAAGAGGCACAGCCCAGGCCAGTGTAGACAGTGCCTTAAGTCAGGTGTCCTAGAAGCAGAGCCCAAGATGGAGAGTCTTATACGTGAGGTCTATTGAAGAAGGGTGTCAGGAGAAAGGCAAGGGAGGGAGGTGGGACAGGAGAAGGAGCTATGAAGGATGTGGTCTTGGCTAGAGTCTAGCCTCAAGTTTAGCCTCAGCTAGATCCCATGGGGAGCTGCAGAGGGAGAACTGTAGCACAGAGCTGGGGCCAGCTTCTTGCACATCCGTATCGGTCTGTCACTGGTTCTGCGGGAATGGGAGGGATACCTCTCCAAGTGAGGCCATTCCCATTCAGCTGAGGGCCGTTATCCAGAGGAGGTAGCAGCTGTGAGCCAATAGCAGCCAACACTCATAGTGGCAGGCAGGGCACCTAGAACATTCACTTCACTTGGCATCAGTATTTTCAGGGACACCCCCACCACCGCCCACCTTTGTTGGTTCTTGAGCAGGGGAAATAGGACTATGAAAGTATAAAGGGAGGCGATTCTGGCCAGTGCATACAGGTCTTCCTACCACTGAGATGCTCCAAGGTCTAGAGCAAGGAGTTGGGGGGCTCCATTGGAGACAGAGAGGGTGTAGCCTCAAGACTCATTGTTTGGTCCTAACCCTGGAGCCTTGGATACAGACCCTAGGCTGTCCAAAAGGGATCTCAAGCCTGCCTGTAGACACCCTGGAGGGGCCCCCAATCCTCCCATACCTATGGGCCAGGCATGACCCAGGACCAGGTCTGTAGATGGCTACCCTTTTCACTGGAAGGAGCTAACTCTGAGCACAGTGAACATACCTGTGCAAGGATCATAACAGAAGCAAGGCTGTCCCCAGCTGGAACAAACACCTGCTCCCCCAGCATCCCCTTGCCTATTTCCCCACCCCCTTTCCTCTCACGCTGTTCCCTGGCTGCTCAGGAAAGTCTGGCCCTGGGTAGAAAGTCTCCATTCACACCCTTATCCCTCTTCCCTATCTGGTCAGAATCTGAGGAACCCTACAAAACCATGACGTACTTCCCACAGGGATCCCCTGCCCTGATGAAGGAAATAACTCCAGATCTCAAGTGTTTTTCTCCACCCAACTGGCCTGTCTTGTTGCCTGGAATTTCAGCTTCCTTCCTGCTGTATCAGATTCCCTGGGAACAAAGTTCTCCTGGGAATGGGGTGGCCTATGGCTACCATCTGACACCAGCCTGGTGGAGAAACAGGGTTCAGTGAGCTAAAAGGGCTCCCCACCATCTCCTCTGAGCCACCACACCCCCCCACATTGTGCTAGAGTCTCTGCCAACACCCCCAGCCAGCGCTCAGCTGGCCACTTGCACCTGTGAAGGGGAACCTTGCTGCAGCTCCGCTATCTTGGGAAGTTTGAAGGGACACATCCCAGGGGTTCTAGGTCTGCATTCTGTCTAGAGTCTTTTCCTGCTGGGCAACTTCTTCCCCATCTTTGGCCAGGGCCATTCCCTCCCCAGCCTGGTCACAGCGTGGCTATGAGGCAGCTCCAAATTTGTGCAGCACAGAGGGGCCTGAGAGGCCTAACATGGGTGGGGTGTGATGGAGGAGGAGGTGGGAGCCCCACAGGCCCGCGATTCCCCACCTCCCGGTGCCATCTTAGGTGTGACAGCCCACGGTGCCGCCTGACCCTGCCCACCACCCATCCCCAGGCTGGACTAGTGTCCCGAGAGAATGCAGAGCAGCTACTCATCGCCCTGGAGCCTGAAGCTGCCTCGGTATACTGCCGCAAGCTGCGCCTGCACCAGCTCCGGGATCTGAGTGGCCGGGCCCCAGGTGGTGGGCGCCTGGGTGAGCGCCGCTCCATCGACTCCAGCTTCCGTCAGGGTGAGCTGCCCCCAGGGACACCACCCACCCTTGGAGGGTCAGAGGGTTACTGAAGCCAGAAGCTCAGCCATGTCCAGTATGAAAGGAAGGGGGTCCCCACCCCGGAGAAGCCCAATTTGAGCAGGCAGAAACATGCCTGGTGGAGCCCATCTGAGGGAGGGAGGCACAGCCCTGCCCAAGGGCAACCTCGTCTCAGGGTGGGACATGTCCTACCTGGGGGAACCCAATCTCAGGGTGGAGATTTCACCTTGCCCTAGGGGAGCAAGGTCTGAGGAGGGCAGGACTCTGCCCAGCGCTGAGTCTGAGGGTCAGGGGAAACACAGCCTATCCCAGGAGGAAATTGCTGGGGTACTGACAAAGGAAGAAGTCAACCCACTGCATCGGCTGTCCCCTTCACTCCCATCATCTTCCCTGACACATCAGCCCCAAGCTCCTGCTGCCAAGACCAGGCACTGAGGCCAAGGACAGCTATGGTCATCCTCCCAGATGCCATCTCCCAGGGCAGGGAGAAGCCCTAAGTCCTGAGTCCCCTCTGAGAGTCCAAGGACACCTACCTGCCTCCACTCCTCCAAACCCTCTAACCCTGATTTTGCCATGACCTGAGACCTCCTGGGTTAAAGGAAAGCCCTGTGTCCATAAATACTTCCCCCCCAGCTGTTGGATACAGGGTGGGAGTTTGGGGTTCAGGATTGCCCTCTCCCAGTCAGGAGCAGGTTGGAGTTTCAGGAGCACTGGTTGCTCCCAGTGCCCATGGAGGGCCTGGGCAGGAGGATGGGAGTTGAACGCCATAGCTGGAGCACCTCCTTCTAATCTCACTCCCTGCTATCTCCTGACCCCCAGCTCGGGAGCAGCTGCGAAGGTACCGCCACAGCCGCACGTTCCTGGTGGAGTCGGGTGTAGGAGAACTGTGGGCAGAGATGCAAGCAGGTAGAGGGAAAGGGGGATGGAGAGTTATCCTTGGCCCCTACCGGGCACCATATACTGATGGGGGGAAAGGCATGTTTGCAAAGCCCGTCTCTTCCTCCTCCATCCGCTGTACCTAACCTGGCCGTCCCCTCACAGTCACCCGCACCCCCACCCCACTCACAGCGGCGCCCCTAACTCCCACTCCTCCAGGGGATTCTCCGCGGACGCTCGGGTGGAGTTGCAGAGCCTCTGGAACCATTTCTCCCCCACACCCTGCGCCCATATGTGGTGGTCTGAGGTTCAAGCACCTGAAGCCCCTCACGTCCCTCCCCCAACCCTGCAGACAGGCCTTGGGACCCGGGTCAGGGCTGGAGGCTGGGCGAGGCTGGAGGGGGCGCAGGGCTGAGGGTGCGAGGCCGCCCACGAGTGTGTGCCCACGCTCGCCGCCGCAGGAGACCGCTACGTGGTGGCCGACTGCGGCGGAGGCACCGTGGACCTGACGGTGCACCAGCTGGAGCAGCCCCATGGCACCCTCAAGGAGCTCTACAAGGCATCTGGTGAGTAGCCAGGCGGCATCCCGGTACCCAGCGTGGCCCGGGCCCCGGTCCCGCCACCGCACCCTGGCGGCCGGGTGAGCGCTGACGCCCCCTCCGCCCCCTGCTCTACCCCAGGGGGCCCTTATGGCGCGGTGGGCGTGGACCTGGCCTTCGAGCAGCTGCTATGCCGCATCTTCGGCGAGGACTTCATCACCACCTTCAAAAGGCAACGGCCAGCAGCCTGGGTAGATCTGACCATCGCCTTCGAGGCTCGAAAGCGCACCGCTGGCCCGCACCGTGCAGGGGCGCTCAACATCTCGCTGCCCTTCTCCTTCATTGACTTCTACCGCAAGCAGCGGGGCCACAACGTGGAGACCGCTCTGCGCAGGAGCAGGTGGGTCCCGGGCCCGCGGGCTCAGGCAGGGTTTGCCGACCCGGAAATGACCGTGCACGGGAGGGTCCCGGGCCCCAAGGAACGGTGGGGGATCTGCCTGATTCATCCCACATATACACCAAGCCAGCAGGGTGTCGGGGTGGGGCGGCGGGGAGCAGCGAGTGAGTGCCCCAGCCCAGCAGGCTCCACCCACGGAATCCGCAGCCCGAACTGGGGCAAGAGAGAGAATCATGGCCGGGAGGCGGCAATGACTGGTCTCCCAGCCTTCTTTACACCCGCACCCCGGGGCCCTGCCGGCCCATGCTCCTTGGCTTCCCTGCACCAAAGCAAGGGGAGGCCTCCCCCAGGACCTCGTACCTGGAACCTGGAGCAGGCTGGCAACTAAATCCTGACTGAGTAGGGTGGGGATGAGGGCTAACATCCAGCAGGTCCAGTCCTCCAGACACCACGTGCAGTCGGTGCCCAGGCACTTCTGCCTGGTGGCAGAGGTAGAGAATAAGAACCACGGACCCCAAACTGGGGCAAGCAGCTGGGCCCTGACCGATAGGTCTGTGCCCCTTTCACCACTAACAGCGTGAACTTCGTGAAGTGGTCCTCACAGGGGATGCTCCGAATGTCTTGTGAAGCCATGAACGAGCTCTTTCAGCCCACAGTCAGCGGGATCATCCAGCACATAGGTGAGCACCTGAACTCGGTCCTCCACCCGCCCCTACATAAAACAGATGCGGAATAATTCCCCCCCCAATCAGTGCCTAGAACTCTCCACACATCCATACACTGGGATGAGACCTAGAATCATCTAGAACACCTGGAGGATGAAGTGCAGTGGTGATTAAGAGCTAGGGGGTTGATATGTAGTCTTGCCAAGGCAAAAAACCTCTGGTGCCTCAGTTTCCCCATTTATAAAATGGGGTGATAGTATTGGGTTCTCAAAACGTTATCACAGGGATAAAATGAGCTGAAGTATCTACAGTGAGCATAATGTCTTGCACACAACGTCTAGGTGTTTAATACGTGTAAATGCATATCCTTATCTCTTGTTCTCCACGTTTCGTGGTGGGAGAGAAGTGGGGAGCGTGAGTGTTGGGGAGGCAAAGCCCTCGAGGACTCGCGGGAGCTCTCAAAGAAAGTGCTCAAATGGCTACTCTCTAGTTGCTAGGCGGATACGAGCTAGGGAGGGGAGGCGCCGGTGGCCGCCTAGTGGTGGCCTCAGTGGCTCTCTCTCTTTCCCCGCCTTCTCCGCCCTCTTCACCCGCGTCCCCCGTCCTGTACCACAGAGACGCTGCTGGCGCGGCCGGAGGTGCAGGGTGTGAAGCTGCTGTTCCTGGTGGGCGGCTTCGCCGAGTCAGCGGTGCTGCAGCACGCGGTGCAGGCGGCGCTGGGCGCCCGCGGTCTGCGTGTCGTGGTCCCGCACGACGTGGGCCTCACCATCCTCAAAGGCGCGGTGCTGTTTGGCCAGGCGCCGGGCGTGGTGCGGGTCCGCCGCTCGCCGCTCACCTATGGCGTGGGCGTGCTCAACCGCTTTGTGCCTGGGCGCCACCCGCCCGAGAAGCTGCTGGTTCGCGACGGCCGCCGCTGGTGCACCGACGTCTTCGAGCGCTTCGTGGCCGCCGAGCAGTCGGTGGCCCTGGGCGAGGAGGTGCGGCGCAGCTACTGCCCGGCGCGTCCGGGCCAGCGGCGCGTGCTCATCAACCTGTACTGCTGCGCGACCGAGGATGCGCGCTTCATCACCGACCCCGGCGTGCGCAAATGCGGCGCGCTCAGTCTCGAGCTTGAGCCCGCCGACTGCGGCCAGGACGCTGCCGGCGCTCCTCCCGGCCGCCGCGAGATCCGCGCCGCCATGCAGTTTGGCGACACCGAAATTAAGGTCACCGCCGTCGACGTCAGCACCAATCGCTCCGTGCGCGCGTCCATCGACTTTCTTTCCAACTGAGGGCGCGCCGGCGCGGTGCGAGCGCCCTCTGCCCGGCCCGCCCTCTTTCGGTCCCCGGGCCTGCGGAGCGGGGTGGGGCGGGGGAAAAGATGGTTCTGCTGTGTGCGCCTCTTTCCCCGCCCTCCGGCCCCGGGGAGATGAGGTCATGGCAGGGTGGGTGGGGACACACCCAGAGACTGGCTTTGGGATTGGGCCCTGGTTCGCTGACTGCCAGGCTGAAGGAACCCGCCAAGGACTGAACGGGTAAGGGTGACTGAGAAGAGGTTTGCAAGACAGAGCGCGCAGCCCTGCAAGTGGCAAGTGACCCCGAAGGAAGAACGCAACAGAAGATGGAGTCCTGGTCTGAACTTAGCCGAGTAGGGGTGGGGGTGCAGGGCTGGAGTTCACTCAATGATGCACCCAGCCTGAACCGCGAGGCAGGCAGAGGAACCTTGTGCTGTAAGAAAGTGACTGGGAAGTGGACTCCAGAGGGACAGGTGTGGTAGTACAGTCCTGGTGTGGTGCTGACCACCCAAATATGACTGAATTGTAGAAAGGGCAGTAGATCTCTAATGGGAGGTGGGAACATTATTATGGTGGAGGCAATTATGAGGGTAGCATTTCCTTCTAGACAAAACACCCATCTGGGAAGGCCCCAAGGGCAGCTTATGAAGGACCCCACTTGCACCCCACCCCAGCCATGGAAGGGTAGCTGGAGGGTGGATGAGGAGGCCAGAAGGAGCACTGAGGGGTGGTCCCAGCTCTGCTATTGACTCGGTGTGCCTTTAGGACATTCTCTGACGGCCCATGGGCCTCAGTTTCCCAAAGTGTGAAATGTCAGGCACTTCCCTCCAACTGTGACATGCAGCAGCCCCACCTGCCTGAGAGCCCTGAGGTGACAATAAAACATTTATGCTCAAGGGGAAGCCATAGCCTGCTGATATGGCGTGGAGACCCTAATAGTGGGAGGAGTGTAGGGGTTCCGGGTGCTATAGAGAGAAGGGAGAAAGCTTTCAGCTGTGCATAGGGAACTGACCAGAAGGGGGTGCTGCTGTCTCCCCATCAAGCATCCCAAACAACTCCACTGCTTAAGACCTCTCTTGCCTACACGAGGTCCCTCCCTCCTCATTCAAACTAATTGTCTTGGCAGCCAGCTTCTGGCCTAAAATGCCACCACCTGTGCATACCTCTTGTGGGGCTAGGTGGTATAATACCACGCGGTGCCCCTGCCTCCTGAGTGAGTCTACCCAAGTCCTTCCTTGGCCCATCTGCAAAGGAGTAGGCATTACCCCAACCCCAGAGAACAAAAATCCACCTGGCTTCCGGTATCCACTGGAAGTTTTATTTCTTTAGGGTTCTATCCCAACCAGTCGCTTAAAAACCAAGTAACACAGACCTGAGGGCTGGGGGGGGGGCTGGGGACTGCACCTCCCTCCTACTCATGGTGGATAGCAGTGGGGACGAGGGAGGGGCAGGAGAGGTGGCTGAAGCAAGGCAGCAGCAGCAGTAATGGGGCCACGACGCCACAGAGCCAGCTCCATCCTCTCCCAGACCCTGGTTGGAGCCCCTATGGCTTGGGGTGGGGAGTGGGAAACCCACCCCAGGCCCTCCCTCTCCCTTCCTCAGACAGCCTCCTTTCGGGCTCAACCCATTTCTTCCGGCAGGAGACTGAGGCACACGGAGAGGAGGAAGTGGGAGAGGAGGACGCGGGAGGGGCAGGGTGGCGGCACAAATGAAGGCAGAGGTGAGAGGCGTGGGCAAGGCCACTCCACCCCCACGCCCACCCCAGAGAGGGGCGAGGAAGCCACACCATCACGCAGCATGTCGGGGGGACAAGGCGGGGTTTAAGGCTGAGGGGCCCGGGGCAGGCGGGGCCTCAGGCCTCAGTCAAAGCCATGCCAGTCGCTGTGCTCTGAGTCATATTCCAGCTCGGCGCCCACGCACTTGACACCGTCCAGCAGCATGGGCGTGCCGTGGTGTCGGTCTGCAAGGTGGGGTGCAAGTCAGTGCCATGCTGGCCCCTGGCCCCACCCATGCGGCCCACTAAGGGGACCCCTCCCCTTCCCTCAGGGATCAGCTGGAGGTGGGGACCCACCAAGGAGGTTGAGAACCCCCAAACTGGGCAAGGAGCCCTTGTTCAGCCCTGGTTCCCTGAGGACAGAAACCCTTGCAGTCGAGCTTGTGCATCCCTCCTCCAACCAGGAGCCTCACACTCTCACCCATGACGCGGGCCTGCACCGTCACGCGCACACAGGTGCCGGTGCCACCTTCGCAGGCTAGCAGTATCTCCTCTTTGAGGACGCCCTCTTTGTGTGCTGAGTACTCGCACTTGACACTATAACCTGCCCGGGGACAGAGGCAAGTGGTCAGTACCTCCCTCAGCCTCCCGATCCTACCCCTGGCACTCACTGGCCCCTACCCACCACCATGGCGGGGGGCTACATGCTGTGTTGCCCCAAGAAAGGGGCAGGGATGGCCCTTCTGGAGCCCAGAGACCCATTCCCCCTAGCAGGGGTGCAGAGGTCTCAAAAATTTACCCATTCTTCAGTGAGCTGGACATGCCTCCAGCCTGTGGGCCACCCCAATGTGGCTCCAAGAGTGAATGAAGTAGGGTCCAATTCAGGCTTCCAAAAGAAGGTCTGGCTATTTTCTCCCAAAAGGAAGGCAGGGAGAGGCGGTGATGAGGAATGAGGGGGGTGGGGCGGGGTAGGCTTTGAGCAGATCAGATGGCAAGAGGTAAAGGCCTGAGGGGTCTCAATCCATTGAAGGACAAGGTTATGGGGAGGCTGGTGATGGGGACAGGAAACTGAAGCTGGAGCTCCATGAAACTGACACCCTAGCTTCTGCCAGCCTGGGAGCTGGGGGTGGGGCAGGACCTGAAGGGAGCCTGATAGGAACAGCAGCCTGAAATCCAAGGTCTGGGACTGGTGGGTACTAGGAGTTATCCACAAGGTGTGTGTAGCTCCAGCAGGTTTTTCTCGAGGGTTAGGGAAGCAGGAGGGAGAGCTGGAGGCTTCAAACAAGTTCCTCAGCGGCTCCCGTCTTGGTTACTGCCCCACAGAGGTAACCATCACACCATGGGCAGGTACAGGCAAGTACGAGCTCATGGACTTCTGTTCAGGGACAGGGAGCAAGGCCTGGAGTGTGGGACCTGCTGTGCTGCCACACTGCAAGCTCACAAAGAGGTGCCATGTCCCCGACTTGCTGAGCTGCCCATCCACCCTAGTTGGGGGTAAGGGAGCACCCCATGTTCTCACTCCCACTCCCTATGGGCCTGCTGGAGGAGGGGACGCACCTTCAGGGACGGGCACCACACTGAGGAGCTTGAGGTGCAGGCTGGGGACAGGTGCCTCACGGACGTCCTTGCTCAGCCTGTGCACTGGGGGCAGAGTGAAGGTAATCTCATACCTGTGCAGGATCTTCAGGAAGCCAACCTACAGCAAGAGAGGTGGGGGAGGGAGGCACCTTCACTTCCTGCTTCCCCCAGGCCCACCCAGTTGTGTCACCTATGATCCCATGGACCCCAGCACCTGCTTCCCCAGAGAGCCCAGAAAGCCCAATTCCCTCCATCACTCTAGCTGATCGACCACCCAGCCCAGTGGTCCCAGCCCTTTCACAGACCCCTTCCCTTGAGGGTCCCAGCCCTACAGCTTGGCCAGCAAGATCCTCAGCATCTGTCTCACAGGCCCCAAAGTCCTCAGTGGCTCATTTCATAGACGAGAAAATGGAAGCCACAAAATGATTGGCCAAAGGCCACATAGTGTGGCCAGGGTCAAGTCCTCCCTAGACTTCTTAACCACTCCTGCCATGCATGGCACCCAGCAAGGTACCACCCACTGCCTACAAGGAAAGGTTCAAAGTCCCACAGGTCATCCACCTGTCCCCATCACTGCCAGTATCCCAGGGTCAAGGATGCTGGTCTTCCATTCGCTCATAGGATGACACCAGGCCACAGACAGTGCGGGATGAGGGATGGGATCAAATTAGAGACACGACAGTAGACCAGCTGTGTCAGCCCAGAGCTGGACCATAGGCCTGGCACCAGCCATTGAACTGGGGCTCCTGGCTGCCCTGCTGGCACCGGATTGTGGATGCCCGCCTGCCCACTCAAAGGCTGACTATGCCCAATGGCCCATACTCACAACCCAAGCAATTTCTGTTGTTCATTCACAGTGCTTGGTGACAGCCACCCTCTGGAACAAATGCCATTCTTGGAAACTCCAGTAGTATGAAGGGTCACAAGCCAGGGTGGTTGCTAAGCAGGATGACTGGCAGGGGTGTCAGGCCAGCAGGCAAAGGGTGCATGCTGTACTCCCAGCTCACATGAGCACACAAACTCCTGCTCACAGTTACTGGGGCTGGGCAGCCCCATCCCTGGGGGCCAACTGGGACTGGCTGCAGAGAGTTTTAGCTGTTCAATGGGACCAGGTCAATATTGCTACATGACAAACCTCAGTCCATGTGCCCCCCTCATGCTCTGCTGGTAGAGGGCACACCCCTCAAGAAGGCTTTCTGGCTGTACCTGCTAACTGTGACCCTGTGACCCAGGGGTACTACTTGTAGAATTTTCCAGGGGAAATAGAGATGTGCAAAAAAATACTCTTCGCTGCCTTATTTATAACAATGAAAACAAAAACAGCCGTAACACCCAGGAATAGGGAGCCAGCTAAGTCAATGATGACACATATCATGGAGCAGTAGGCAGTTGTAAAATCTCGTGGAAAATTATTTACTGACACAGGAGACAGTTCACAACAGAAACAAGCAAAAACCAGTGTGGACATGGTGATGCCAGCTTTTGTTTTTGGAAACAACGCTTTTTAAAATAAGCTGGATCCGTCACCATAGTGTTTTCAGAAAAATAAATAAATAAAATTTTAAAAAGCTGGAATAAGCTGGGCGCGGTGGCTCACGCCTGTAATCGCAGCACTTTGGGAGGCCGACAGGGGTGGATCACGAGGTCAGGAGATCGAGACCATCCTGGCCAAAAGAGTGAAACCCCCGTCTCTACTAAAAATATAAAAAAATAGCTGAGCGTGGTAGCATGTGCCTATAATCCCAGCTACTCCGGAGGCTGAGGCAGGAGAATCACTTGAACCCAGGAGTTGGAGGTTGTAGTGAGCCGAGATCACGCCACTGTACTCCAGCCTGGTGACAGAGCAAGACTCCGTCTCAAAAAGAAAAAAAAAAAAAAGCTGAAATAACACACATCAGAATATTAACCATGGTTATTTTGGGATAGTATGACTGTGGGTACTTTTAAATTTCTTCACATTTTCTCTGTCTTCCAAATTTTCTCATGTCTATTAAGACATGAGTGAATTTTGCAATGAGGGGAGAGAGCTATTTTTAAGTGTTGGTTTGTTCCGTTTATTCTCTTGGGGAAGCTGTCAGCTGTAAGACAAAGAGTGGGAACTTCAGAGTTGGACAGAAATGGAGACAAAACCCACCTTTTTTGTTTGTTTGTTTGAGACGGAGTCTCTCTGTTGCCCAGACTGGAGTACACTGGCGCAATCTCAGTTCACTGCAACCTCAGCCTCCTGGGTTCAAGCAATTCTCCTGCCTCAGCCTCCCAAGTAGCTGGGACTACAGGTGTGCGCCACCACACCCGGCTAACTCTTGTATTTTTAGTAGAGATGGGTTTTGACACGTTGGCCAGACTAAACCTGGGCCCCTTTTGAGCAGCACAGCAGACCCCCCTGCAGGTCCAGCTCAATAGGCCAGACCTCCCCCGACCCAAGGGCACTCCTGTTCAACTCTGGACCCTTCATTTATTGACTGAATAAATAAGGCCTCAGTCTCCATTTTCCCCAACCCAGCTCCACCAAGCAGAAAACAGGGGGTGATGATACTACTTCAAAGAGCCTAACTCAGCCAGAGATTGGGCAAAGAAGGGTTAAAAAAGAAAGTTGCACCTTGTTATTGC